ATACTCATAGGTACAATGTAGCTAGAACTTCACCTCCACCCTTCAAAAAAGTGCAAGGGAACAAGCTGTCCTGAGATAATCCTGAATGAGTAAGCCTGTGTCCCTGTTTCTTTTTTGCAAGCAAATGGCCCCTATGTGTTTTTATTTGCAGTAGCTGTTTCTTCATTTCTCCCTGAGCTGTGCATGTCAGACGTGAGCAGTGAGCTCCTATTCCAGGAACCACTCCAATCTAATACGTGAGGGCAAGCAGACTGACTCCCAAAGCAGGGACAAATGATTCATGCTAGAATTAAGAAATATTTAACTCCTTGGCACCAGTAGTCAGGCTTTCCAACACTAAGCAGAATGTCAGAGACAGGATAGTAGACTAGACAGACCTCTATGGCAATTCATACGGATATTGTTCAGAATCACGCCTCATCACAGACGACTCATGTCTCCTGACACTGCGGACGGGGAGGAGGAGGAAACGTGACCACCCCACATCTCTTCTGCCTAGTGAACCCTCCACGCCCATCCCAGGGCCACCACACTCTCTCCACCCCATCAGAATTACATGTGAGGGGGAGGGGCTCTGTCCTTCTCCTGCTGCGTCCCCCGACACAGTGGGCCTCTGTCCCTGGCAGGTGGCCATGGGCAGGACCAGGAGAGAGCTGCTTCTCACACCAGCTGAAGCTGCCTGCTCCAGGTCACTGCTCTGTGCAGTGCAAGAGCTGCCCAAGAGACAGAGCCCGGCCAGGGAGATAGTGGCAGCAGGCCATCCCCCTGCTTGGGCCCGGCTGCCAGGGACAGGGGCCCAGTGAACCAGAAATGTGGAGAGTGGACTCCGGCTCGCTCGGCCCCTGTCCCCAGCAACCGGGCCCAGGCCGGGAGCGGCCTCCCAGCGTCACCTCCTCAGTTGGGTTCTCTCTCAAGCAGACGCCACGCTTCACAGAACATCAAGCTGGAGGGGCCTGTGAGAGAAGTGGCTGGTCCCTCCCCGTCCGCTCTCTGCCCAGGCCTGGCTGCCAGGGGGCAGGTGTAGCAGCACGATGGAGACCCTCCCCTCCCCCCAGCAGGCCAAGCAGAAATCTGGAGGGCATGTGACCTCACATATACCCCATGCGTCATCTATACACCTCACTGCCTGGTCTTGTATATGCTTAATGTGAACTTTAATATTAAGCTTTAAAAAAAAATGTTTAGGTGTCCTTAATGGTAGTGTAACAAAAAACAAACAAAAAAGCTCTGGCAGCCAGTTGGCAATTTTTTTTTTTTTGTAAATTGCACTCCCCAATATGCCTGTTCCTTGAACTATTCCACCTCACGGATTGCATGAAGAGACACTCCTACAGTTCACTGACATGGTATAAACCAATGGCTTGCCTGCTTGTGGCAGTTCTTAAAGCACCATTAATCTGCAAATGTGGATTAATGCTAAATACTAAAAAGCCGGAGTAGAATTTAGATGAAAAGCTGGGTACTTTGTGTGCGTGCTAGCCACTTTTAGCTAATTTAGACTTTTCAGAAACCTCAGATGCATCAGGTAAATAGTAAATGGCATTTCTTCCCCTGGAAATAGGCTGCATAGTCCCATGGAAAACTCCTAGAGAGAAGGTGGTCTGAGATTCTCTTGCCTTTATTGGTTTCCGGCAACTCATTCTACGGTGGAGATACGTTGCTCCTCTCTGGAATGAAGACACAGTTTGCCTCCAAAACCCAAAGCTCTCTCAGGACACATCTTCACTGCATTGGAACTTGGGCCCCAGCCTCTCATCGGGGGCTCAGCCAACGTAGCTCTAATAGGAAGATGTTGCTATGCATCTGAACAAATGAAGAATGAGTCACATTTAAATGTGAAGTTATTTCCCTTCTACAATGTATTCAAGTTTTATCAAGCTCATTCAGAGAGCAAAATTCCAGACCATGCTGTCAGAGAGTGAATTTTGATTTAGAGGTAACACAATCCACAGCACACAGAATAGGTCTAATAAAAAAGCCACACCCAAGCTGTTAATACTGTACAAAGAAATTGTTCCATGAATGTAAAAGTGCTGCCATTGAGAGAAGTTATTCACAACTAATCTACTCAAATCGCTTTTTACTGTGCATAGATTATAATCTTCTCACATTTGTTATTCTAGTTTACTCACTTGTTTTTTACTCGATGGGTTCATAGTGAGCAGCAGTGAGTATTCAGCACTTCTGTCCAAAAGTGTAAGCTGTGCTGGACAGACGCAATTGCCCACTGGTAAGACAGCATCATTGCTGTTCCTGACTGAGTGACGGCAACGAGCCACCACTGCAGTTTTCAGTCCAAGGGAGGTATCGTGGAAGATTGACAGAATTGGAGAAAACTCCTAGCTTTTCCTTTCTAGGCCACACAACAGCCTTAGCAGAGAAAAGACTGCAAGAAAAACCTCTTGCTACGGTGCGAGATTTACTGGTTGTATACAGCTTTTTCCCCACTGCCATTATACTCACACAAAGTAATTTTGTGTATGGTCTTAGCTGTGAAAGATGCAGTCACAGATCCTTGTCTGGCTCAATTATTTGCCTCTGTGCAGGGACAGTAGAGAGATTTTGGAAATCTTCTTTAGTGTGTTAAAGTAGCATTGTTTTAATATACTTACATATAGATGGAATTACTTGAATAAGTGATCTTTACTTTCACTCTACATGAGTACTACCACAACTGAAGCTCAATTGCTCAAGTACTCACAGAAAACCTATATAAAGGGAGCACAAACTGGGCTGAAATCAGCCCATTTTATTAAAAAAAATTATTTTTAGAATACATATTTCCATTATTAGGTCAACTATCATGCCAGACATTACCCTCCATGGCAAGAGCTACAGATATATTCTACAATCAATATCCTCCTCTAAGCCTCAAAATTGCATTTATATAATTTAACATAGCTCCTAGTCAGAAAAACAAAAGCCAGTCTGAGCAGAGAATACATTTTTGTAAGGTACATCTACTGATTATTTCAAACTAAAGAATAGGTGTGGGTAGCTATGAATGTTAAGAGCCAATAAACCAGTTCAATATTTGAGGGGGGAAAACTAGTTCGGAAATGTATTTAATTATAAACCAGTCAGGTTAGGTTTAAAAATCAGTAATCCAAGCTCCCAGTGCTGGAACTTCTGAAAAAGAGACGGTAACTATGTAGCCTCCTTCCTTATACCTACTCCATTGCTTCCCACTTTTTATTTTATGTGTCCATCTCTAACTCCCCCTTTCCTTCTGGTCTCATGTTCTTTACTATCCTCCCACCTCATCAGTGCAGCCTCTTCCCATTCACAAATCTCTCACTGCTAATTCCTTCTCCATAGTTGGCTACATATCTGAACCTCGTCCTCTCCCAGATGCCACAACTCTTGCCCTCTCCCTGAGGCTCTGTATCAGTTATCTTTTGGCTCAATCCCATTGTAGTAAACAGCAAAACCCATTGACTTCATGGCACAGGATCTTGCCTTCTGTTCCCATTCACTACCTGCTCTCTGCAGTGAGCTCCCCCTTGCTCTCTGCAGTGAGCTCCCCACACACTGGCAACACAGTTAATGGTGGGTGGGCTGGCAGCAGAAAGCCCGAGTTTATTCTCGGCTCTGCCACGAACCTGCTGAGACCCCTTGCCACCGGACTCCTCGTTTTTGTGGATGCAGACTAATGCGGCTACCCCTCTGATACTTAGTAGATAATCCTGCATCTTAGAAAGCTTCTGGGTTAGCCTCTCTTTAGAAAAGAGACAGCTTCACAGTGGGCATAGTTAAGGATGCGAGTCTGTCACGGAGGTCACGGATTCCGTGACTTTCCGGGACCTCTGTGATTTCTGCAGCAGCTGGTGCGGCTGGCCTGAGCAGCTCGGGCAGCCCCTGGGCCAGCTACTACTGGGGCAGTCTTGGGCCACCATGCCCCCCAAGCAGCAGCAGGAGTGAGTGTGGGAGGGGGCTCCGGGCTGAGAAAGGGGGTTGGGGTGAAGGAGGGGGTGAGGGCTCCAGGCAGCGCTTGCCTTGGGGGGGGAGGGGAGCTCCCTGGAAGCGGCAACATGTTCCTTAGCTCCTAGGTGGATGCGTGGTCAGGTGGCTCTGCACACTACCTCTGCCTGCAAGTGCCACCCCCGCAGCTCCTACTGGCCACGGTTCCTGGCCACTGGGAACTGAGGAGCCAGCGCTTGGGGTGTGGGAAGCACACGGAGCAGCCTGGCCATGCCTCCGCCTAGGAGCAGAGGGACATGTTGCTTCTTCCAGGGAGCCATGCAGGGAGCCTGCCAGCCACCCTCCCCAACAGAAGCAGGAGTCCCCCACCTCTCCTTCCCGACAATCCGTGGGACCCCTGAGCCGGCCCCTTCCCCAGACCACCCAACTTTTAGTTAGGGCTATATAGTACAAGTCATGCACAGGTCACGGGTCATGAGTTTTTGTTTACTGCCTGTGACTTTTACTAAAAATACCCATGACTAAAACGTAGCCTTAGTCATAGCTACTGAAGAGTGTGATAGACTCCTACAGCTGTAAAGCAGATCTCATGAGGGATCAACTGGAAAAAGAGGTGCTTAAGTGCCAGAAAAGACTGCAAAGAGGAAGAGAAAAAGGAAACCTGAGTGTACCTTTTGATACAGGAAGTGTAATACATTCTCCCACCATCCTCTTTCACTTGTGATCTGTAATCACCAGGACCTCTTATAAAGAGCTTCAGCCTTTAACAGTAGAGTTTGTTGACCGCAATTAAATAAAAATTCCAACCCCTACTCCACATCATGTTAAAGCAGCATTCTTGGGAAAACACATGCATGTTGTCTGAGTGGTCTGCCCCAAAACAGATTTACAGAAATTAAGGCATTTAAAATTACAAGACGTGCTAACAGAAACGAATTACAAGGGCCTACAGCCCTAAATCCAAACCAACAGCAATAGATATACACATGCACACTTAAATTTAAGTTCTAATTAAGAAAACTTCCAAGTAACCTTAACATTTCACATATGATGGGTTTTTGTTAAGAGACAGACACTGCTAAATGTGATCTGTTTATTCAAAATGTCACATAAATTAAGTACATTTCCCATGAATATTGCAAATATACATGAAATGAACATTGCTATTTTTAAAAAAGTTTGGCTTTGCTTATGCAACAAGTACCAAATGTGGCTAGAACATGGACTTGTCCTGAATTTACTAAATACAAAATGGCGCAGTTTAATTTATATTTATACATATGTACATACAGTTTCATAACTAGCTTTAAAACAGTAAAAAATTGTTTCAAGTTTATCTACATTACACATACTTGTTTTAATCTGGTCACAAGCCCCAGATGAGATTTTGTTATTGATACAATCATTTCACAACTGTAAATGTAAGGCGCTACCAAATACCAATTCCACCAGTGTGAAAGGTAATATGAACCAAGTGTTTTTGAACAATAGCTTTATATTTCAGTTTCAAAATGGACGGGAGCATGAGAAAGGGAAGCAGTAAGAAACTGATCATCAGCATGTTAGAAGTCCAAAGCAATCGATGAAATGAAACACAGACTGGACATGTTAAAATACAGTCGATAACAAAGGCCTTGATGGAAACAATTTACAGGCTTCTTGAAAGGTGACGTTAAAAAATATATTTTTTTTAAGTCTTACAGGTGACCCATAAGGGAAAAAAAAAAATTCGATCTGGACATTTTTGTTTCTTTATGACGTATAAAGGATCTCACCAAAGTGGAGACTTTCCTATCACATTGCCCAGGCTAGGAAGTAAGTACGAAAAATGTAATGTGTTAAAGGGCAGCAAAACACCTGTCTTTTCCAGCTGCTTAGCTCACAGTTTCAATACCGTACCATGGGGACAAGAACGAAGTAAAGATATAAGATAGCTGCAATATGGACATTTGCCTCTAATCCAGAGAAGAGGCAACTAGTTTCTCCATCTATTTACTATTTGCTGCTGTACAAACCAGGACAGGAGAACTTGGTAGGAATAAAGTCTCTACCCCTAGAGACTCTGTACGTGCCTATGAATAGCATTTCTCTTTAGCTTTGCTGTATGATCCAGTATTTCATGTTTTGGAAGAAACAGTGAGTTTGGGTTGTTAGTTTAACATTTGCATACAGATACTGATTATTTCATATTATGTATCCAAAATGTCAGTCACTTAAGTGTTTAAAAACAAATATTAATTATTTGTATTAATGTAACACCCAGGAGCCCCAGTCATGGACCACGACCCCATTGTACTAGAAACAGTTTAAAAACTTACCAAAAATTCTGTCACTCAGCTTTCACCCAAGCGAGGACATTTCATTAGTTATCCTGGCATCCTTAGACAGTAATGTAATTTAATGCAAAAAAGCTAATTAAAAAAAAAAAGACACTCTTACATCTTCATTATTGCTTTCCTATGATGTATTAAAGGGAACACTTTGTTTTGTAGTGTCACTTTTAAAAGTACTTAAAGGACAAACATCTTAAATCACTGGCTTTTGCAAAGAGGAGAAATTCACATTGTCGTCAGTAATTAGAATCAAGGAGACAGCAACTAACATTTCAATTCTAAAAGGATATATATCTGTGTAAGGTTAAGCACATATGTAACATTCTGCAGGTGCAAGGCCTAGGACTGTATGATTCTGTCAATGTCCCTTTGCCGCCAAAACATTAAAAGTCAATGCATGGACATGGAAAGAGTCATGGAAGAGGGGAAGGGTAAAACAAAGAGAGCAAGGACAATGATGGCAAGAGTGGCATACAGAACAAAAAACAAACAATGTGAAAGTTCACAAAGAGAATTCACAAAAAGAAAAGGAGTACTTGTGGCACCTTAGAGACTAACCAATTTATTTTAGTCTCTAAGGTGCCACAAGTACTCCTTTTCTTTTTGCGAATACAGACTAACACGGCTGCTACTCTGAAAAGAGAATTTATTTTCCCAACTGAAAATGAGTTGGGTTGCCAAACTGAAGCTGAACTACCTAAAGTGCTGGTAGTCTAAAATGGATTAACTGGAAAAAACACTGGGATGAAGTATGAGAGTTATTAATGCATGGATGGAGGGGGAAGTGCTCCAAAAGACTTCAAGCGGTTTTGTTTGCAGCTTTGGGGCTCTGATGCCTTCTCCACCCTCTCAGAATCTCATATAGCTTTTACTTTTAGTACTCTTATGACAGTAGCAGAACTTGCAGCAAGGCTATTGTGGAGATTACGAAATCATTGGTTGTAAGTTATGCACTTCACAATTCAAAGGATAAATTACAAATCACTATTTGACTAGAAAAGGCGCGTTCAAGGTAGAGGCAATTACAGTACATTCAGAGCAGGTTACAGAAACCACTTCTGGTAACGATTTGCTGAAAGAAAAGTTAACTAGATCACTGGTTTTCAACCTGTGGTACGTGGACCCCTGCAGGTCCACAGACTATGTCTAAGATTTCCAAAGGGGTCCGCACCTCCATTTGAAGTTTTATAAATGAAAAAAGAAAAAGTTTGAAAACCACTGCACTAGATACTTTAGCTTCCCAGACCACAAAGATTGTAATTACAGTATCCAAGAAAGCAGTCAATATGTGTTAATTCATTTGTTTATGCAGTTTTCTTCCAGGACTCATGTGCAAATTTTTAATATATATCTTCATGGACACAAAAAAAATAATAATTCAAAGCAAACTAAAAACTAGGCACTTTAAACATTTAGATAAGACACCATTTTCATCATGCCAGAGTGTTGCACATGAACAAGTGTCTCTGAAAGCATCTTGCTATACTTTGAGAGCACAGATTGTGGCTAACTTTTCAAGTTGGTAAAATTACTTCTTTTAGGAAGCTACACAATTAAATTAATTTTCTAAATAGCCACTAAAATAGTTTGACTAACCAGCAACATATTCAATAGCTATCAAAGTAAGATATTAACAAAACCAATATATTAAAAACCAAGACAAACAAATGAAGAGGACACTTGACTTAAGCTTGCATTGAGACTTGCCTTGTTAGTGTTCAGTTTGGACCTCCTTTCATGATGTCATCACAGACCAAGGTTCCAGCCACGTGCAGCACTTATGATATAAAACATAACACTAACTTTTAAACCCAAAGTTCTAACAAATATTGTTCCAATGTAACATCAGCTTGGCACATCATTTGAAGGTGAGAAGGGAAATGGAATCTTCCCCAATGCTTATCCTAGCCAAGTTTACTTTAAGAACACACATCGGCCGAGTACCACAGCATGCTTTCCCGGAATTTGGAGTGAAATAGCTATTTCACAACAGCCTTTCATGTTTTAGGGAATACGTTTGATTTGTGTGTAGTGACATCTGACCAACTGGGATTACTTTGATTTTCTAAAAATAAATGCACACCTTTGACATTTGATATATTCATTCCATTACAACATGCAAATCACAACACAAGGGGTTACTTAAGGCTACCAAATTGCTGTTCAGTAGCTACTACTCTTCCCGACACTCAGCTTTGACCATGTAAATACTACGCTCCTGGACAACCTCCAAAACCTTAATCTTGAAAATTGTTTTATAGACCAATATTTCTTGAACAAGTAGATGAAAGTGCAGAGAGACTCTACCAACTCATTAAGAGAATATCCTGTCAGCTATGTACTTTGTGCATTCTTTATCTGCAGGATAGTTTGGTTTCCCTTCTGCTGACCATCTCAGGAAAATTCTAATAAATCTATCTGCAGTCTGTGATCCATTGCAGAGAACTCTTTTCCTTTTTAAGTGTAAATCCAAACTGCACATAGGCCATTTGTGGTGTTCTAATACTTTAAACTCAGTCTCTCACAGGCTAGAAACATCAACTCTTGATTATGAATAGTAGTAGTTATCCACAACTACCAACGACATTGTAATTGTAGCACAACTTCATAGGGGCTCAGATTTCACCAGGACAACAGGCACAGAGTGCTTATTAATTACAGAGTAGAGTGCAAAGTTTGGTGAACATCCAGAATAGCAAATGTCAGACAACCAGAAAGAACTGTTCATCTCTGCGTGATGCTTTTAAAAAAACATATCTACTAACATACAGTCAGTGCCTGTTCACGAGTAAGTCCATGTCATCTGGGTCTCTTGCGTGTTACAAATATTAATACACGTCTGATGGCAATAAGACGATCTTTAAAGGAAGTCATAGCAAGTATAGCCAGCTGAGCCCTGTTTTCTAATGGTAACACTGCCAATAGCCACCAGTACCAGGCTGGACCACTGGGGTTACTCTGCAAGAGAAATAAAAGGATACATGCTTACAGATTACAGGTTAGTGTTAGCAATCTTCCCTCCCACTTTCCCTCTATTTTAGGAGTACATACAACTAATGCCCATCTATATAGTGGGGGTTTCTTGAGCGCTACACCAACTTCAAATGTTTCCTCTTTGTGCAATTAAGTAGCAATGACATCTTCAGGAGTCAAAACCACAGGGAGTAGTTGGCAATGTTTTTCCAACCTTGATTCTAGTGAACCAGAACTGGGTAATCATTAATAAGCTTGATATGTATGAGACATGAGAGACCTTTCTATCAGAGATTTGTCTAGGAGATCCATAGATCTAGGATGGTAGTGCAGGTTTAGGAAATATTTACCTGTGGCTCCGATTCCTTTCCTGGCATTGATCCAAAATGATTGAGAATTTGTGCTTTCATGTTGTCTTTAAGGGAAGTAAACCAGGCAACAGCTTGATCATAAACTGAATCATGAAGACGGACAAGTTCTTCATACTCTGCTCCCTCCACCTTATCAAGAAAAAGGAGGATACAAAAATCAGATTTATTCCATATTCTATACTATTTAAATGCCACAGAGAGCCAATTTCAACCCAATTATGCTTAACAGCAATGACTACTCCTTACTAAGGGATGGTTATGCCACTTAATGTGGATGTCTCCAGCTAACGAAGTGGTGCATAAGTCTGATACATCCCAAACTCGTGCCAGTTCCATTTTTTGGTCTCTCCTACAGAAGTTTTAGGTCCTTTCAGCAAGCAAGTCAGAAGTATTGCTATTGGAGTCTTCAGTTGATTAGGATTTCCTCTTAATAAGGACGAGGAGCCCTCCTGCCAGGGCTTCTGCATTAAGGGAATTCTACAAAGTAGTGCTGTTTTCAAATACAGTAGAAGTGGTACTCAGGTCAAGGGAGCAGTGGAAAGATGACAGGGAGAAACAGAACAAGTAGATAAGTGAGACTGACTTCCCAGTACCAGGGATGGTATTAAAAAGGTTTCTGCCAATATACACAAATGTTTGATCTGACGATATACTTCACCTTCACACAGTGAGGACCCTGAGCAATAACATGGGATATTAGACCACTTTAACCTTGAAGGGACATTTTATCCCCATTGTCTCTTTTTCTGTGTGTTTGTTGGCAATTGACCTGCACAGCACAAATGGGGAGAACCCTCCTAGTTAACTGCAGTTAACTGTGAAAGTCTGTTTGAGAACCATGTGACCTGTCTGGACTTTTCTAATGCTATCCACTGGCCTGAACTCTGCAGTGAGTGCACTGTGAAGTGGTATCAGAGTTTTACTAAAAAGAAAAGGAGGACTTGTGGCACCTTAGAGACTAACCAATTTATTTGAGCATAAGCTTTCGTGAGCTACGGCTCACTCTGGCACTCATTTGAGATATCCAGCATAACACTAGACCATTATGCAGGCCATTCTTGTTTTGGCCAGTAAATTCCACCACAAATTCACTAAATGAGGTGTACGCCAGATTTTAGAAAAGAAAGTTATTTTAATTGGTAGATTTCCTTAGATGCCATGCATACACAAGCATTTGAGTATTAGTACCAAGTTCTCTTCTTTAAAATGAGTTCTACCTTTTTAAAAACAAAAACAAAACAGCTTTTCTATTCAGTGTGTGGTGAGGTCAGAGATCACCTCTGGGAGCTACGAACAGATACTGTGTATCAATGCAAAGCATGGAATCCTAAGCACTTGAATAAAACTTAGACGTGTGTCTTTAGAAGGGTCTTGAACCAGTGTCATTTTCACCTGCTACTTTAGCCCCGATCTAAACATGACATGGTAGGTTGTATCTTTTCAAGTATCAAAGGTTTGAAAGCTACCCTGAGATTTGATGACAACAGAAGTACCACTGGTAGAGAGAGGATTAAACTGCAAAGAGCGCTAGTGAGGTAGTCAGAAGGGCAAAATCATTTATTCCATGGTTTCCGAAGTAAATGTGCACTATGACCATGTAAATAAATAACTTCAACTTGAGATGTGACAAGGACGGAACATTTAAGCGAACCCAAAGAAACATGAATGCCCAAGAGATCACCTTTTTATCTTCAAGATATTCAATGTTCGCGGTGTTATACCCATCTCGTTGACCATGGTTCAAGACCTTAAATCGACGAACACCAACCGTATCAACAACTGAACGCCCATCAGGAAAAAACTTTACATCCCTGATCTCTAGCATGCAGCCATAATCGGCAAACCTGAAATAATAAAAGGGCACAGAAAACTAGGAAGTCACTAACAGGTATTTATAGAAGTTCAGACATTTATAAACTTACTGGACCTGATTCACCACTGCGTTACATTGGTGAAAAACGAAAGTAACTGCATAATTTTCCAACACAACGATGCTTCTGGTAACAGTCACACACACACTTCATGATTAAAGCAACAGCTTTTTAAAATTAGAATTGTGTGTGGGGAAGGAGGGAGGGGCAGGTTTTTAAATAAACTGAGCAGATTTCATGCTCCTGGTCATCAACACCAGTTCCTGAGTGCTGGTGGCAACTTATGCAGGGTTTTGCAACTATTTATAAAGAGATAGCTCTGTTACACTGCTGAGGAAGGCAGAGAAGTACCTAGAGCAGTGGTTCCCAAACTTGTTCCGCCGCTTGTGTAGGGAAAGCCCCTGGCGGGCTGGGACGGTTTGTTTACCTGCTGCGTCCGTAGGTTCGGCTGATCGCGGCTCCCAGTGGCTGCGGTTTGCTGCTCCAGGCCAATGGGAGCTGCTGAAAGTGGCATGGGCCAAGGGACGTACTGGCCGCTGCTTCCAGCGGCTCCCATTGGCCAGGAGCAGTGAACCACAGCCACTGGGAGCCGCGATTGGCTGAACCTGCGGATGCAATAGGTAAACAAACCGGCCCGGCGTGCCAGGGGCTTTCCCTGCACAAGTGGCGGAACAAGTTTGGGAACCACTGGCCTAGAGAATATGCTGAAGCTGTGCAAGTGAAGTGAATGTCTTTTACTGCTTTTACTCCATTTAGGCCTCTGATAAATTTTCCCATTGCTGCTACCACTGGTTCAGCTCCAATAGTGGAGACAATGGTGGGACATTTCAGCAAAAACAACCTTGGCACAAGACGTTGAAGTTAATTAACACACCACTGTAAGCAAGTTCTAATGCACTCTAAAATGATTAGTAGTAAGTTATCAACCACCATGTAGATAGTAAGTGATGCACTCTGAGGGGATTACTACTCCTCTCCCTCTCTCCTTATTTCTGATTGGGTGGGGAGGAGGAGGAGGAGGAGGAGGGGAAAGAAGTTGCCTTACAGGGAACTTACAGGGGAAAGCAGGGAGAGAACAGGGGAGAGGAATCCTTAGCTGCTGATATTACTACAGCTGGTCTCTGCTGCGAGAGAGACACCAACCAGAGACTCCCCACCCACCAACTGCCAGGGCCACCTGCAACTGGAAGAGCAACCAGGAAGAGGTATTTTGTCAGGAAAGTCCTCTCCTGTTCTAAAGAAACCCCATGTAACTGGGTTACACACTGCACCCTTTTAGAAGAAGGCAACTGGAGCTAAAATCCTGCATTAAAATTCAGGGTAATTACTGCTGAGTCATGACGGAAGGTGCGTCCAGTAGCTCCAGTGTGAATACATTATTTGTAGTACGAGGGACACTGACCAAGATCAAGACCACGTTGTGCCAGGCACTGTACAAGTCAGGAGGTAAGTGCTTCAGTAAGCTTCCTAATATCAAGGTGATGGGAGTGTCTGTGCCAGAAAAAATTAAGCCAGAGGTGGTCTTACAGAGAAACCTTAAGAACAGCTACACTTGAGAAGCAGCTTAAGTTGAGGTTTACACTGTTATTTCCGAATTACTAATAAAGCCAAGCCCCCAAAAGGTGGAGGGTTTTGGAAACTAACTCTGTTCTGCATGCTCTAAGGGCAGAGCAGAGAATCCAGTTATTCTCCACTTCCTCCCTCTTTCAAAGGGATCAGCACTTCACTGTAAGATTCCACTGTACATGCTTGCAGCTACACCATGCCATCAAGGGAATTAGGACATCCATGACCTCTTTAGGATTCTTCAGTTCCTACAAATGAAAGCTCAGATCCAGCATCCTCATCCACCAAGCATGTAATTCTCATTCAAAAAGCCTAATTTTCCACTTCAAACACCTACTGTATGGTCCAGCTTTATTAACCCAGGGTATTCATAAAAGTCCGATCTGAACCCAAAGCTTAGGAGACAGGAAGATGTTTCAGGGTAAATCTACACAGGGATAAAAGACCGATGGCACGGCTGTGGCTGGTCTAGGTCAGCTGACTCAGGCTCATGGGCTAAAAATTGCTGTGTAGACTTCAGGCTGGGGCTGGAGCCTGAGCTCTGGGACCCCACTCTCTGATGGTCCCAGTCCTGAACATCTACAGAGCGATTTTTCAGCCCCAGAGCCCACTCCCCACAGCCTGAGTCAGCTGACCCAGGCCAGCCATGGGTTTATCATCCCTGTGTAGACATACCCTTACAGAGCAGACAGACAGAAGAGTAACCCTCACCTTGACTTAGTCAACAGCCTATACTGGGAACCAAACCGTGGATCAGAAACTGTCATAATAGGCTCTCTGTGGTACGACTGACCCCAAACCGTTCATACATAACGTAACAGGAAATAGATGCCATATGCACTCCAGTCTTTTGACATGTTACTATTTTCTAGTTAAATGTAACATAACTATTCCAAAGCATATCCACAATGAAACACTTTCCAGGAATACGTAAAGGAGGTTGGATGGATAACTAGAGCATAAGTCAACTTTCTGGGTCTAACATTGAGATATCAGAAACTTCAGTAAAAAGGGGATGTTTACAGATTATATAAAAACCTGGCAACAAAACACTTAGTAACATTTGTATCTGCTAGCATGAAACCTAAAAAGGATCCAACTGGTTGTGCAAGACCAAGAGTACTATGGTTCTCCACTGGCTTCCAAAAGTCTTACGACAGGGATTTTCTCAGCAAGATTCCATACCCTTTTAGTTCATCAGCTAAGCACATGCCGAATTGTTTGGTACCAGTTTCCATGCATCTTCTTATCATTAGCCGATACCGAGGTTCAAAGACATGAAGTGGGCAAGGGATGGTAGGGAAGGCCATGGTACACACGAAGATGGGAACATCTTCATTCAAACTGCAAAAATGCAAATATGAGAACAGTCAGTCTCCTCACGCATACTGTATTTATTCAGCACAAAACCTCATAGTTGTGGTTTGACTAGAATGGTTTCTCAGACTTGTTTCTCGTAAAATAAGGTCTTGGTCAACAAAAATTGGTTGCTTTCACAGGCACCAGAGCACCAAGGGCTCTCCCTGCTATTAATGCACTCTAGGTACTAATACCTCCATTCTTCGGTTTTAATAGAAAAAGTTTGGAAAATGCAATCGCATTCTCACGCATGTGCATGGAAAAAAGCATTTAATTTGCACATCACTGAGTCTTTTACAGCTTTTATCTGTAATTTTCAAAAAGATATATTACTGCATACTACATATACTTTAAACATAGCTGGAAAGCAATCCTTATATTCCAAAGTGACGTGGAGTGTTTGTAGGAATTCAGTGGAAATGGGGACTCAAGGACAGAGTTAACTTTCAGCCTCTAGTTTTGTAACACACTTTCATTTTTCTGTTGTGATTTTTTAAATTCAGCTATATGGCAAGTACAAGTAATCATGGATAAAGCAGCCAATACATCTACTTATAAGGATGTGTAGAAGCATACCTGCTTACATTTTACGCTTCTTTTACTCCCAATCCCCCACTTCCTACTGTTGGGGAAGATGTTTTAATTAGTTTTAAATTATGGGTTTTTTATTCACAGAAATAAATCCACTAAAATTTATTGCCAAATAAAATTAATATTTTCCTCTGATGCTGTGCACCTCTCACATCCAAGCCTACTTTTCCTTGATTACTATCGACTACAAACATGCCAACACTGGAACAGATTAAGTGAGCCTTTGAAACCTACTTTCATAAATAAATTAAAGGTTTCTTCAGTAATCTACATCAAAATAAAAAAGTTTACAACATTTAGATACAACAGAAAAACAACTTACTTTGATAATTCCTTCATTTCTTCTTCATAAATTTTCTTTCTTTCTGATAACTCTTCTGGCAAGTAACGAACTATTAGTTCTTCTGTAAGGACTGTCTTTTTATAAGTTCTGCTTGCCAAAAACTATAGAGAAGAGAGTTAAAGCTTAAGTACCAATATTTAATCAGTTATGTCCAGCCTCCATTCCAAGAGCAAGATAGCTCAAGATGGTTCGCAAATAGTGACAAAACAATTAATGCAGCAGCTTCCTGATGTAAAGTTGTTCTAACCCCCCTTCTTTTCTCACTCTTTCAAAAAATTGAGATTATCTCTGTGATACAAGAGTGGACACACTATCCACTTCAGTGCCCATAAACTTCCAGAAGGACAAATTTATCATAGGATCTACAACATAACAATAAAAAAAAGGGTACTCTTCAGAGCTGTGAGAATAACTGACTTGCAATTCGCTGGTAGTTCCAAAGTGTTGAAAACAATTCAGTTTGACTCGAAAATTCCAGAATATTTCAGGTTTGGTTCAGCATATCAAAAGAGTTGGGAAAAACTTGTATCAGGTCATCTAAAGAAAAAACATTTTGGATAGTGATAGTCCCTTATTACCTAGCTGTTAAAGAAAGCACTGACCCAGGATGTGGAAAACCCAGGTTCAAATCCCCACTCTAGAACAGGGACTTGAAGCCGGGGTCTCCACCACTCCCAGGTGAGTGTCCCAACCACCAGGGTTAGAGAGTATTCTCAGTCTCTCCTGTTGAAGCTATTCCACTCTGTGTAAAGTGTTTAAGTATTCACCGGACCAGAGAGAGAGTGAGCGAATGAGAATGACTATTGCCTGGTGGTTAAGGCACTCACCTGGGAGGGCAGGCAACATTCAGGTTCCAGTCCCTGCTCCAATGAATATTTAATCATGTATCCAAAGTGTTACAGCTTCAGCAGGAGAGAAGGGGGAGGGGTGTGTGCTTTAACTGGGCTAAAGGGTGTAAGTGGTTCACCACCACCTCCAGTTTTGTGAATCTAACAAACAAAAACAAAATGTTTAGGTTTCAGAAGTGGTGAAACAAAGCTGATTTGACATTTCTGAATTTCTTTTGACCCTTAACCCTCCTGCCCTCCCCAATTTTGACTGAAACAACTAACTGAAACACACAGGAGTTTGTGAAATGTTTTGATCAATGCAAATCAGCATTTTTCTGCAAACTATTTTCTGTTCCCGTTCCCACACCCCCCCCGCCCGCATCAAAAAAACAAACACAAAACACTTTTGCCCACCTCTAGTCCTCTTTACTTAGTGTAAAGGAGATAATACCTTTTGACTCAAGCTACCAAGTTATTGCCACCTGAGGAGTCTAAATATTTGGGAATCAGATTTCCCGCAGCTGAGCATACATTCTCTACACCAGAATGGCCAGAAGCGTGCTTTGTTCACCAACCCAGTATCAGTAGAGATACTGACTGCAATGACAGTACGGCCTCTTCAGCATTTTCACAGTCTTTGTTAGAGACTGTTCACGCAAAAACTAAAATGCCTCATTTCAATGTGAGAAAGTAATACTGTACGAACAATTTTGGTCAGTACTTCCCTTCCCTCCGGCCTGCTCCAGATTATTAATACAGCTTAATAAATACTAGTGTTAGTATTCAGACTATGTCTGTGCAGAGCACAACAAGACTACTATGTTGGCCCTATATTGTTCAGCTGTATGTATGCAAAGAGATTTTGCACAATATGCTAAGATCTTAATAAAAGCTTCTAAAAAACCCCCTCACAAATACAAACTTACTTCAGAGAGCTTTTCTTTGCAGAGCGGGCAATATGGGTTATGGTCAAGGCAACGCTCAAGGCATTTGAGACAAAATGTATGTCCACAGGGAGTGGTAACAGGCTCATAGAATAACCTAAACCAGACAGTTGGGACAAAATAAAATTCTTTAGAATTTCCATCCCACACACAAACAATACAGATAGCAATGTGTCACTAAGCTTATCATTTGAAAAGCTATTTCCTGCCCTGCATGTCAATCTTGTGAGACATTTTTATTATTTAGTCTCTATCCTAGGACGTAAAAGGGATTTCATTTTTAAAGTAAATCCATTACATTGACATGTTGCAAAAATAATTTCAGCATCTCCACTGATGTTAACATTTATTACATTTTTGCAAAGATGAAACAAAACCTTTAGTTCATGTTAGAATAGCTTCCAGTACAACCCTTCCCTCAAAACCAAATATATTTGGTCTAAAGTTTAGGAAGACTCTCAGCTCTATGCAGTCATACCTCATGCAGAGGGAACACTCGAAGTCAGATGCATCCACAAGGACTGCTGATATCTCACGTAATGCAGGGGTGTCTGAGTTTTCAAGTACAGTATCTCCATCTAAGGCAGAAGGACAGCTCTATGTCAAACATTCAGGTAAAGCAGGCACTATGTATGTACACATATTATGGAATCAGAGTAGTGACCCCATGCTAGTTTTCTATGATGAACCCAGTTTTTATATCTGTTCTCTATGAACACAAACTCCCCCCCCCAAAAAACTCCTCTCCACCTAAAATATTACACATGGACCTCCTGCCAGAGGGTAACTTTTCTGAGAGGGTAAAAGTTTTTTTCTGTTGGAGAGCCAAAGTTTGAGACAAGACAAAAAAACCCTTCAGACTTTGAAATAGATTTTAATTTTTCAAGAGTTTTTCATGTTTCAAACAAACAAAAAACCCACCACAAAAAAGCCACAAAAACCCAACCCAAACCCCCCACCCCCAAAACAAGCTAAATTTAAGAACTCCAGGTTTGTTTTTTAACACCCCCTTCTCCCTCTGAAATCAGGACTATTGCATTTAAAGTTTTTTTTTGGGAAGGCTGGAGATTAATTTGCTAACACATTTGAATCGGAGAACTTTGCTGTTGCAGTAATGTTTAGCGTTCTCAAGGGCAGGCACTGTTTATAAAAGAGTGAAGAGCGTTAACGAACTTCTAGCATAGCCTGTTTTGTTGGCAAGTTCTGTATAGCCGAATTCCTGATTTTCAAGAATTTTAAACTTAAAGCACAGCCCAGAGCATTAAGCTCTGACTAAACCAAGCAGGCTGAGCCTTTAAGTGCTGAAGCCAGAACAGCTGGACTAAGAGACCTTACTAAATTCACAGGTTCAGCCTAAGTCCCCCAAATCTGCAGACTCCTAAATTCTTGGGTCTTGAGAAACTTACAAATAACTCAAAACCGCGTGGACAAGTCTTGTCTCCCTGTAGACAAGATTTCTACCAGTTTGGACCTAGAAGCTCTGTAGCAGTATAAGTTCCATAATGGTTACTGGCACTTACAAGGTCTGACCCTGCAATAAGATCTCTGCAGGCAGATTCCTTCATCTGTGCACAACTCACTGCAGAATCAGCATCTTTGTCTGAGGATTTTAACACTGTAGTTCAAAAAGCCTAAGCAGCAGAAAGTCTAGAAATACTAAGCAAAAGTTCTCATACCATTGGCATCTCTGCCTCCTAACCCTCTGGTGGAGGAGTCTAACTAGATGTCACATGAAAAATTAAGTTTGTCCCCTCGCATGCAAATTACAACACTACAATTTGTTATAGGACAACCTGTACACAACCTTCTGGCGTGTATCAAGTACAGGGGAAGGGTGGAGGGCGTTGAGGTCTTGTGGAGGATACATTAGAAATGTTTAATCTTTAACCTATATCTTGAGTGTGGGGTCCCTGACCAATAGCAGGACCCTAAACGGGCTATTCAGCAGACAATAACATGGCATCACATCTTGTGTAAACCTTAAATTGACAGTTAAAAGTGTGAAATGGCTCTAAATCCCTTACTGTGAAGATAGGGGAAGGTTAGATTTCCCACCCCAGTGATTGGGTGGGTTTGCAGTTCACAGGCCACTCTGTAGGAGTTTTCCTATCACAGCAGGGAGGTGGACCATTTCTATTACCTGGAAGAAATGGGTTTTGAGCAGAGAGGTGGAAAACAGACAGTTGTATGTTGTGTGTAAATTTCAAGGCAGAAGTCAGATTTCTAACCCTCAAAATTTGGTGAAACAATGAATGGTAATACAGTGGAGATTTAAAAAAACATTAATTAATTATTTCATTATACAGTACATTACTGCCTTCTAGCATTCCTTCACACTGCTAAACCCGAGATCTTTGTTAAAAAAGTTTGAAATATCTATGTAAGCAGATATATTAAATGGCAGAATGGATAGGGGTACTTCTCTTTTAAATGGATTCTTTGTTTTCTGGGAAAAATAGATATTAACATATGACTGATTTTGATGCAAATTAGCTTCCTCCATTGGGCTTACTGTGCCTCTATTTCATGTAAAGAGACGCTGAAGTTTAGCTATACCTCAGAGGCCTAACTTCTACAGCACTCCTTTCACCAGCAGTACAATAGATAAGCTATTAATGGAGGAAGCATCAGAAAGGCAGCATTTGGAGAAGAGAAGTATGTATTCCTTAGACGAATCAGAGTAACAGCCGTGTTAGTCTGTATTCACAAAAAGAAAAGGAGTACTTGTGGCACCTTAGAGACTAACCAATTTATTTGAGCATAAGCTTTCGTGAGCTACAGCTCACTTCATCGGATGCATACTGTGGAAAATACAGAAGATGTTTTTATACACACAAACCATGAAAAAATGGGTGTTTATCACTACAGAAGGTTTTCTCTCCCCCCACCCCACTGTCCTGCTGGTAATAGCTTATGTAAAGTGATCACTCTCCTTACAATGTGTATGATTTCCAGCACAAATCCAGGTTATCATACACATTGTAAGGAGAGTGATCACTTTACATAAGCTATTACCAGCAGGACAGTGGGGTGGGGGGAGAGAAAACCTTCTGTAGTGATAAACACCCATTTTTTCATGGTTTGTGTGTATAAAAACATCTTCTGTATTTTCCACAGTATGCATCCGATGAAGTGAGCTGTAGCTCACGAAAGCTTATGCTCAAATAAATTGGTTAGTCTCTAAGGTGCCACAAGTACTCCTTTTCTTTTCAGATGAATCAAGACTTCTCTGGAACAATATTATTGATGTTTAGACAAGGCTTTCAACTCTGCTCATAGCAACAAACAAGAATGACGAGTTGTCTGAAGTCGTGTTGTAGCCATGTAGCCCTCTGACCACACACGCCTACTTGTCACTTACCACCCCACACTAGAACCCACATGGGGTATCAAACAATTGCAACCCATAGCCAATGAGAACCACATCCTGAAAGAAATCTTTCCTGAACTCCCCCACCTCACCACGCTCATCACCAGAAGCAAGCTCTCCACTATGATCTTGAGTGAACTCTCACAAAAAAAAAAAGACAAAAGGAAAAAAACAACTCAAAAATCCCCACCATATCACCTCTGGGTGAACACTTTTCACAAAGCAATTACTCTATATCTGACCTATCAGCGGTCATCCTCAAAAGAAACCTGCACAACACCCTCCAAAGATGAACCTGGGAGCTTAAATTCATAACTTTGCTAGGCACTAAAAATTATGGTCTTAATAAAGAGACAGGATTTCTAGTTTATTACAACGATTTGTAACCCACTATCTCCCCATTTTTGTCCTATGACTGCAGGGGTGTTAATGGGCCACTTCAAATTGAATGGTCTCTTAGAATGTGTGTTAGCTACTTGTACTAAGGTCTGGTCTAGACTACAGACCTATAATCGGTAAAACTACGTTGCTCAGGGGTGTGAAAAATCCATCGCCCTGAATGACCAAGTTATACTGACTTAACGCCCTGTGTAGACAACGCTGTATCAGCGGAAGCGCTTCTCCTGCCGACATAGCTATGGCCTCTCGAGAAGGTGGATTAACTACGCAGATGAGAGAGCTGTGCCGATGCAGCGTTTTAAGTGAAGACTTGCCCTAAACCATCTATTCTAGCTTGTATTTAGCTGTGACACTGAGGGTATGTCTACACTTAAAATGCAACAGCAACACAGCTGCACCGCTTCAGTGTAGACCCTACCTACATTGACAGGAGGGATTCTTCTGTCCGCATAGGTAATCCACCTGCCTGAGAGGCGGTGGCTAGGTTGAATTCTTCCATCAACCTAGCACAGTCTACGCTGGGGGCTAGGTCATTATTGCTATGTCTCTCAGGGTGTGGATTTTTCACACCCCAAGAGACATAACTATACTGAAGTAAATTCCTAGTGTAGACCAGGTCTGAGTACCCCCCTCCCCCCTCTGAGTTTTACCTACAAACAGTAACAAAGAACTGTTATTTTCTCATCTATTTTAAAATATAGTGCCATAACCCAACACCCTCCCGGCACCTCCCCAAACAAACAAACAAAAAACCCCACAACAGGACAGACCTTTTTTAGGAATCTTATTTAGGACATCCAAGCTTTGTAAATCCCTCAAGTCACTGGATAGCTTTCTTTTTAAACGTGCAACAGGTAAGCTGGAGAGGATTGTTCCCAATGACTTATGGTCTTCAAAATGCAAATCCAGTACATTGTGAGAGAGAGAAGAACTAGTGCTTCGAAGAACATCGGACTCTTGGGACAGGGCTTTTGTTAATTTGAATACAGTATCCTGAAAAGAGAAAAACTGCATGAAAGTCAGGCAGATTCTGTTTCCTCATTTTCTGCACTAATTCTATCCATAGAAATGATAAGATAGTAATGTTATGGGGGCAACCTGGTAACTGATCTGAGCCAATACTAATAAGAGATACTTGCTCCAATTGCTTCAGAAATAGAGGGCTATTTCTCTCATTACAATTCTCATTCTTTTCTAACCACCTCTCCTGACATATTGTAATTGTGCATTCTCAAAGCGCACACAGACTAACAAAAATAAAATGTTATTTAAAACATCACACCATACAAAAACCGCTATTTGGCTCTCTTAGAAAGTGGTACCCTAATCTAATTATATTAGGTAGTCTCAGGATATGTCTACATAGACAAGAAAAACCCACGGCTGGCCTGTGCCATTCGACTCAGGCTCGGACTGTAGGACTATTTCCAGGTTTGGACCCGAGCTCGGAAGTCTACACAGCAATGAAACAGCCCCACAGACCATGTCCCGCAAGCCTGAATCAGCTGGCCTGGGCCAGCCACGGATTTTTCTTTATTGTGTACACATACCCTCAGAAATGAGAGATCTAAATACAATTCACACTTCCTTCCACCTTTTTATAATATTGCACTAAAGCTAGATTCCCTCCCTAAAATCTGAGAGGGGAAAAGATGCATTAGTAATAACTAAGCTTGTATAGAAACATATGCAACAATTCAAGTCAGGTAGATCAGATATTACAAGATGCTTCAAAATTACTTTTGGTGTTAATACATTTTGAATATTTTATTCTTTACCTCAGAGCACCCAGCAGCAGAACCATCTTCAACAGCATTTAAGTTGCTTAAAAATGCAGGTTTCAACCTTGTCCGACTAGAGAAAGGTGCAGTGAGGCTGTCATGCACGTTTTCGAAGGCTGGGAAAAACATCTCACACATTATCTAGTAAATGAGAAAAAAAAAGAATTTTTTGAGCTGGTGTTACAGAAACAAACATATGTATAGTCTAAATGAAGGTTACTTACATGTAACCAGCGTTCTTCAAGATGTACTCTGCATAGTCACAGATGTAGCCTGCACGGTTAGAACTCTAGCTAGCAGTAGCTCTTGGAGCACTCACATGCCTTCCCCAAACCACCCCTCAGTGAACACTGAATGTTCCAGGGAGAGGGTGAAAAAGGGAAATGGCAATCCAGCTGCCTCAGTTCCTTCCCCATGTGCCAAGCCCTTTGTAAGGCGGACTCCGAGGCAGTGGGGAAAAACAGGCAGGGAGTGTGACTATGCTGGTTACAGGTAAATAACCTTCATTTCTTCAAGTGCCCTCAGCATATTCCCACACACAAGACGGTAGTACTCTGATGAAGGACGGTGGGACCATGGAATCCTAATTGAATAAGGACTACAGAACAGCCATACCAAATTTGCATCAAATCTAGATTCTACTTATGCATTTGAGTAGTTGACCTGCTCAGGTGATCTACATGGGTATTTTGTTCCCCCCGATACATGAATTGTTATTGGGTGATCATCTTATTCTAGACCAATCCCAGACACCTTGCCTGTATGCACAATTGTAGGAAATGAGCCTCCCTTCATTTCTTCAGATAATACAAACACTGTCCTATTGTCTGTCATGATCTGGCATACCCTGTGTTTGACCTGAGACAGAAATGACTTGAGAGCCAACCTGACTGCTCTCAGTTTTAAGATACTGATATGTAGATTCTTTTCCATTGGTGACCAGTGAGCTCTGAACAGTAGATTTTTGTTTAAATGGGCACCACCCAATCCACCATAGATGCATCAGAGGTAGGTTTACTGACGGCAAGACAGACTGAAAGGTATAACCTTCATTACATTTAGAACACATCCACCACATTAGTAATTCTACCATAGAAGTTAACGCTGATGTACAATAAACATTGTGTAAGACAAGTTTGTAATTTTTCCTAGCCAGTGCTGCAGGTCTCATCTGAAGACGAGAGTATGGGTAACTGACATGATTGATGCTAAGAGACCCAGTAACTGGGGGAAGAGAATTGCATTGACCATTGTGGGGACTGCAGAAGATGTATAGACAACATTATTTTAATAAACCTTTCTTCTGGAAGAAAGACTTTGTTACACTTGAGTCTAATATGGCCCCTATGAAAGGGACCTTTTGGGTTGTTGGATTTAGGAATAGCTTTTCCCAATTTATGCATAATCCTAGATTTACTTTTTGCCAAACATTTGATCCACATGTAACAGGATTTCTTCCCTAAATGGACACTAACTATCCAGCTGTCTAGGTAAGGATATACATAAATCCCATTTTCTCAGTTATGCTGCCATTACCGATAGGCATTTCATAAACAGCCTTGGACCTCTAGATGAGCCAAAGATGATGACTATGTACTGAAACATAGTAGGTCCTCTCCTACCATGAAATGAAGAAGTTTCCAGTGATATGGTCTTACTGAAATATGAAAATGTGTCTTAAATACAGAGCTTTAAATCAATCCTGAAGGGAAAGAGGAGGAATTATAGAAATTAGAGATAACATACAGAAACTAAAACTTTTTGATGTCTCACATGCAATCCACCAATTCACAGAGCACCACCTCGCCCTCTGATGGTGATGATGCTAAAGTGTCTGACATTCTCCTCTGGAGAAGGTATCCTTTCAGAGTCTGGATCCTATTCTTGTATCTTCACTAATTCTTCCTCTTCTGGTAACAAATCTCTTACCTCTGTAGGACACCTATCAGGACTTAGACCCACCCTCGGATCTGTTCTTTTCGGATCTGATAATTGAATGTTTCCTTGGTACCAAACTGGCAAAGGTCTATTTTTATACATAGAAACATCTTGATAAGGTTAAGAAGATGGCCAGTAAGAGCACAGAACCCCAGGAGGAATTTGCCAGTCAGGCCAAAGGCCCACATTCGGTTCTGGTGGGAAAAACTTGTCTCTAGATCGGCCCTCCAATTCATATCTTCTCTTAGCCAAGCCCTTTCTCATTTCAGATGCAACTGAAGACAGCACTCTCTTTGGCTGAATAAAGGAGAGCATGAGAGGATGGGGGAGTGCACGCGCACACACACAAACCAACCAACCCTTTCTTAGAGGCCTAGAAGAGGGTCTTAAATGGTGGGAGCAGAGGACAGATCTGGTCTTCAACTCTTCCCCAGGCAAGTATTCAATTGCATCTGTTACAACAAAGTGTCTGATAACTCAATTAAGCAGGTAATGGAACCAGAGCAGGATTTCATAGATGAATCTGTGCCATAACTACTATTTGTTGAGGTGCCATGTCAGTACAGGTTATTGCATCATCCTAGTCTACCCCCCTCATTGGTTCCTGAGCTCTTGTACCCAGGATCGGTTCCTGGAAGACCCTCTGGCCAAATGGTCTCTCTCTCGAGGATTGGCTCTTTGCATAGAGACTGACAACAGTGAGAACCCAGAGCTCATGCTCACCATGACACAGCTGTGTTCTTTTGTCATGGATTGGCTCTAGAAACAGAGGCCAACACCACAGTAGTTTTAACTCGTTGGCTCCTTTAGTACCAGGTACTGAGGTGGAGGTTGTGTCCTTTCCCCCAGACTTGCTTAGAGTGGACACTAGTCTAGGAGACTTGTTCAAATCTTGTACTCTCTTGGTTCTGGACGGTTAGGCTTCCTTATCCATAAATTGTCTTAAGTCTGTTCTGTCTCTCCTTTTCAGCTCATTTGTAAAATTCAAGCAAATCGAGCATTCTGAAGGTGAATGTGCCTCACCTAAGCATGCCAGGCATGTGCACTGAATGCTAGATACACTGCCGGGCATGATATCTTTTAAAACTGGGCTTTTTATTTTTTTGTTTGGCAAAGAATCCTGAAACCAAAAGATTTACAACATAAACTAATGCTAAAATTAACTAATTCTAACTATAAAATTATTAACTAGCTAGCAAGGTGCAAATCCAGGAGCACTTCCTGATCCATTCAGCAGGCCACAGTTGGAAAGAACTGAGATGGCTGGAGTGCCACACCCCTTTTATATCTGCACCCCAATTCCATGTTCACAGAGGTTTGAGGGACAGCAGGAGAGGCAAATGAGTGCTCCAATCTGCTAGTTAGAGTTCTGCCATTCAGGAGACACCAGTTGGGGCATTCCCACGAGTGGGAAATGCAGAGGACACTTGAAGAGCTGGGATGGTGGGTGGGAGGGGGATCACACAATCTGCAGATGAACTCACTGAACACACCAGGGCCGTTGCATCCACTCATTCTCCCTGGCTCTGCCACCCACACAATGCCCTCTCTTTTAGGAACTCCCTGAAACACCCCCACCTCTCCTTCATGGCAGAGGCTGTGTCCCTCTGTCCCACACAGGTCCCTCCATATGACTATCCCCATTTCCCCATGCCAGGGTCTGTGCCCCTCCTCCTCACTCAACTCAACTCCCACCCCCTCAGGTTCCTGCTACCCCCTATAATATACTGTATAAAACTCTCTTATAAGAGTCCAGGCTACAGACTCTCTCCCCACACAGCAAGTTATGCTGCCGCTTCTGATTTCTCTGCCTGCGGCATGGGTGAGTCTGGGAGCCCTGATTTTCCTGTGTATCATGCTTTTCCGGTGTTCTGATTTGCACCAACAAAAATTAGGCCTGTGCCCACTGATAACCTAGACTGTTTCCTGAAATTCTGGAAGTAATTATTCTATTAGACGGACACCATTAAGTTGAGGTTAGACCTCACTTCACTCAGCCTATGAGGTTAGACCTCACTTCACTCAGCCTCACTTCTGCAGCTTGCTTCCACAGGACAGTGGTAAGGCACACAGTTTAGTAAAACTCACCTACAAGCAGGACAAGGAGGTGATCAAGAAGGCAGAAGTCTCTCCCATGGCAGATGCACTAAGGTTTTATTTGATATTGTGCCAAAATGTGTGGCGTTTTTTATTAACATGGAATGTATCTGAATCCAAAGATTTTCCTTAGCTGTAGGGCACAACAGACCTGCATACAAAAAAAGAGTGCCATGATGTAGTTACTGTACCTTTTGGGCTTCTTTCTTCATTAAGCTCCATTCAGGATTTAAGGCAACACAATAAAGAAACTCCTTCAGTGCTTCCTCAGTCCTTCCCAATCCAGAAAGAACTTGTGCTTTCACATAATGACCCTGCATGCAAACAAAAGGTATGTGAAACTGACATTTCCAAAGTGACTGACTGTAACACAAGACCAATGAACACTGCTTTTATTTTCTCAAGACACACTGCATTCTTTCAAATGGAGCAGAAGTTAGAAATAGGATGGGGAGTGGGTTGCAATGCTCTGATCTAAAAGAACAAAATGGATGCTTCCATTCCTGTTGTGGCCTTTCCATGGGTTGTAGAGACCAGGAATGGAACACAGCTGTTCCTGAAATTCTTGCACAGCTCCACAGACCCTCTGGATAATGTCAAGTGATTGCATTTGAGCAAACCAATAGGTAATCCTTTTACTTCTGGACAGAGAGTCTGGCACCAGTCAGGGGGTTCAACTCCAGAAAGGGATAGTTGGGAGACCTGCAGATAGATCTGAGCCAAGAGTGGGTGGCTTCTGATGCTGCACTTGTTCTACCTATCACTTGCAAAGAGGCATTAGTTTTTCCCCTGATGTACTTCATGGACGGCTTCAAATTTACCATATAACTTGTATTTCTTTCCACAGTGTGTAACCGCCTTCTCCCTCCTCCCAAAAAAGTGCAGCCTTGGGTCACGTCTGAGAATTAGATACATTGTTGAACCAAATTTTAGTTTTAAAAAATTTGAAATAAACCCAGCATTTTCCTCAGAAAAGCACTGCAGCGTGGAGGGCTGGTTGAGCCACTGGAGGGAATTTCAGGAGGCGGAGCATTCCCCTATTGCCAGTGACTGACAGGTCTGGTTCTGTCCCCAAGCATGCCAACGTACCCATTTTAACAGATCAGTGGACCTTAGCATGAAGGACCAATGGACGTACACGCCAAAGCAATTTCATGCACTAGCACAGATTTAAGGTTCCACCACAGACCTCGTTGTTTTATGTAGAATTTAAGCTTTCATTCAAGTTTCTAGCCCTATTGGTTGCCAAAATAGCCTTCCAAAAGCGACCTGAAAAAGTTCTGTCCTCACCACAGAGAGAGACTCTGATACATATTTCTGTCTTTGAAGCTTGAGTGTACCGTACCTTGGGCCAGAGGGGTTTGTTTTGGCAGAGTGCCTCTGCATCATGGAGAGCCTGTTGATAGTTTTTCATGGTTATCCACAGTTCTGCTCGTTGTGCTATTAACGAACATTTGCAGGGAGCTGGAAAACAAAAAAAGAGACGGTTAAGAACTCCACGAAGTGAAGAATAATCACGTGCAAAACATAATATCCTAGCCTGAACTTGAGTTATCCCAAAAAAATGCTATTGCAATGAAGCATTTTATTTGTATGCTTACCTATTAGAAACAGAAAATTCCTTTTCTTCCTGTAAGCTATGTATATTCCTTTCTCAGCGTGTCACTAATCAATTATTCTCACATATATAAAGTTCACGGCCAGACTCTTAAGAGAGCTTATGAATAGGGCTGGCAGAATTAGATTTTTTTTTCTAATTATGACAATCAATACTGATTCTTATTTAAGATATTTTCTCCTATTTTTAATTATTTCTATTTTTCACAGGTGCTGGGGGGGTCAGGTTGGGGCTGTGGGTGGTTCCCAGCACCAACAGTGGGGCCCATTGACATCAGGGAGGCTGAGGTCTTGGCCCAGAGGAGCAGAGACCTTCTCTTCCCCCCCACCCAGGATGAGTCCTGGCCCTGGAGGCCACCACCCCGCAGCCAAATGGCTCTGTTCCTAGCCAACAGCCATTCTGCAGTGGGGTGGCCTCCTCCAGGGCCTGGGACGACTCCTCCTCGCAGTCCTGGCTGGGGAAGGTAAGGGGTTGTGATGCCAGGCCAGGACTGCAAGTCTTCCCTGCATCTTGTGCCTACAAGGATCCGGTGTCACCAAGCCTGCGGCAGCAGACGGAACCCTCTGCAACCCCACTGTCATGAACCTGCTTGCTCCTGTGACAGCAGAGCTGGAGAGGGCTCCCTGTGCTGCCCCAGGGTTGGTGCCACCCGAACCCCACAGGCTTCCCACTGATTCCGCCGCCCCCCAATCAATTTCAGTGGCTCAGCTGAAATCCACGTTTACCAACATTTATTGACTGAAAGTGAATCCTGCCAAGCCGAATTATGAATACGTAGCAAACAACATCCTCTGACTTTTCACAATTCTGTTGTATGCTTTGATTACCTGTTCCCTGGGGAAAGAGACCTAACATCAGAAGTGCCAAGCACACTTCTGGGGCAATATGTGGAAAAACTTAAATCTAAATAAACACTGCACACATTCACTGAAAAGTATAAAATGCATAGAGTAAAGGCACCCCAAACTTTATGATCCTGTTTACCACCAGGCTATGTCCCTCCCATCCTCTGTAACCTCCACGTAAAGTAGATACGAGTCTATGATAAAAGTCTTTTAGCTCGCTGACATCTTAAGCCTTGTATATTTTGGTGGCAATTCATTCATGAACCTGATGCACTATAGATTGTAAGCCACTTCTACATCATGGCTTCCCCTCCCCCACCTCCAAGTTCCCTACAGACTTGGGTATATAGGGTTTAAGATGCTTAGTCCTACAGCTCTGAGCTAGCACATACCTGTATCTTCCACAGAATGTTTGAACTCTTCACCCTCACACTAAAGCTCTGCACAGCACTTTCCTTACTCCACTGTGTGCCATACGCTCTTTTTCTCTCAGTTACTCTTCCTTTCATGCCTTTTTAAACACCTTCCCTTTATACCTAGAATGACCTCCATTGTCTCCTCAATATGGACTTTTTCTCTCCTTGCATTTTCACTGCAGAGTTCCCTTCTTGTGTTCTCCCCAGTTACCCAACCTCAAATTTTAAAAACCACTCCATTTCATACCCATTCACAATATGTCTTGTATTTTTTTTAGCCCTTATCCCACTTCCTTACCCTTTTTTTTAATCTTATCTTTATTTTATACGTGTTTCCTGGCTCCCCATTTAAAGTTCCATAGCCATTTAAGGCCAGGCACATTTCAATTTCTGTGATCATCTAAACACACAGATTGTAAGGAGGTTCGTGTCCATGGCTGCCCAACTTCAAATGCCTTGTAGAAAAATGGGGTGTGAAGAAACAGGGAAGACAACTTATGTAGCTCCTATAACTCTGCAGTGCACTTGAACCCAAGCATGGAGACTGTTCAGTGCTCATGTTTCATTTCTTTGAGAGCATCCTTAATGCATAGTTACGTAGAAATTATCTATGTTTAGCAGAAACAAAGGGCATGTTCTTGATAGAGATATTGCCCTGTACAACAAAAGTAGCTTATAGGTGTGCAGTTGATAAACTTTTACAACTCACATAATATACCAGATATGAACTTTCAAAATGCCTGTACACCTCCTTCCATGACAAACTGGACTTAAGTTCTACAGCAAATTTCTACAATTCTGTCACACGCTATACCAGTACACTAGAAATTGAGGATTAAGTATAAAAATACAATCGGAACAGCTGCTGTCGTATTTTGATATTAAATCAGTGCTCATATGCAGCGGATTTCCATATTAGCAGTGTAATCATGCGGCAGAAGCGGTCAGCGGTGAAGCTAGAGGTTCTGGTGATGGAACAAGCAGTTGGGGTTTGGGGAGGTGTGGAAAGCAGTTTGGGATTGTGGGTTAGGCAAGTTGGCTTGATGTTTCTGCTAATGTCATAAATTATCTCTAAGTTTCAGTATCAATCAAGAATTCAGAGCTATTGTTTCAAACCCTCTATAGGTTCAGGTAGACTACACTGCATCACAGTTCAGTTATAAGCTTGTCTGCAGAATCACAAGAGCATTTTTCCCTTTTAATTAAAGGAAAGCAGTAATTCTGGAACACAGCAGTTCAGGGAAGGTTGAATTCAACAGCAAATTCTCAAATAGCCAAGAACACGAGGACATGAAAATATATGAAAGGAGAAAGGGCTGGTCTTTTTCCTCCAGAAGTAGTACAAAAGTCGAGAGTTAGATCAAGGAAGACAGTGACAAGTATGACAAGCTACTTCAGGATTCCTACCTTCCTGTTACTCTGAAATGGGAGGCATGGCCAATCTTATGAGTAATGGTCTATAAATGTTAGGTCGATCAGAAATAAGACTTTCCAGAACTGCTAAAGCAAAATTTACCAAGAATATAGATTGAAGAAAAACAATTTTCTCCAGAAAGATTAGTCAAGCGGCAAGACCCAAGACTAAGCAATTGGAGTTGTGTATGCACAACTCCAAACGAGCTCACCTGTGCACAAATCTTAGACTGAACTACTTAAATTTGTAATCTGTTATCATTCTCGCACAGCATACTGCATTGAGAGTTTAAATTTACTAACTATACAATTCAAGAATAATAGACAGGTTAAAGTAATTCATGCTGGATCATATCCAGAGCTAACTGTCACCAGGAAGATATATTATCATAGAATAATAGGGTTGGAAGGGACCCCAGGAGGTCATCTAGTCCAACCCCCTGCTCAAAGCAGGACCAATCCCCAACTAAATCATCCTTAAAAGCTTCAAAGGAAGGAGATTCCACCACCTCCCTAGGTAATGCATTCCAGTGCTTCACCACCCTTCTAGCGAAAAAGTTTTTCCTAATATCGAACCTAAACCTCCCCCACTGCAACTTGAGATCATTACTCCTTGTTCTGTCATCTGCTACCACCGAGAACAGTCTAGATCCATCCTCTTTGGAACCCCCTTTCAGGTAGTTGAAAGCAGCTATCAAATCCCCCCTCATTCTTCTCTTCTGCAGACTAAACAATCCCAGTTCCCTCAGCCTCTCCTCATAACTCATGTGTTCCAGTCCCCTAATCATTTTTGTTGCCCTCCGCTGGACTCTTTCCAATTTTTCCACATCCTTCTTGTATTGTGGGGCCCAAAACTGGACACAGTACTCCAGATGAGGCCTCACCAATGTCAAATAGAGGGGAATGATCACATCCCTCGATCTGCTGGCAATGCCCCTACTTATACTTCCCAAAACGCCATTGGCCTTCTTGGCAACAAGGGCACACTGTTGACTCATATCCAGCTTCTCGTCCACTGTAACCCCTAGGTCCTTTTCTGCAGAACTGCTGCCTAGCCATTCGGTCCCTAGTCTGTAGCGGTGCATGGGATTCTTCCGTTCGAAGTGCAGGACTCTGCACTTGTCCTTGTTGAACCTCATCAGATTTCTTTTGGCCCAATCCTCTAATTTGTCTAGGTCCCTCTGTATCCTATCCCTACCCTCCAGTGTATCTACCTCTCCTCCCAGTTTAGTGTCATTATGGTATACGCTGCTACTGAACTCACTTTATCAGCTTTAATTTAGTGTTGTAGAATAACAGTTCTGGGTAGGGGAGGGAGGAGGGAAACAAAAACAAGAGAGAGTCACTCCTCAGAGCTAGAGTTTAAACTCAAATTTAGAGAATCTAGGTGGATTATTACATATCTATAAAGTACCTTAACTCCAAGTGATTGCAACCTCCTCGTACACTCATTTATAAGGGAAAATTAGACACAAAGTTACACACTTGGCTCAACAAATGTGGAATTAATGGGTTCCAAGATGCTGAACAGTAAATGATTCAATCTAAGTTTAAAAAAACAAAACTAAAAACCACACCACACTCACACTTTAACACAAGCAAACATAAGGGTCTTTCTTTCAAAGCTCTCAACTATCCAGCCCCGCTTTCTACAGTTGGCCAAATGGCCATATTTAAACTTAAACATTTGATATTTCTCTGGTTTATTTTTAAACTGACTTTTACACCGTTTCTGAGATCACTAAAATTTCTACCCCAAGGGTCTGATGGCATCCTGTTCACGCTTGAACAATAGTATCAAGTTGTTCAGTTAAAGTATTCCATGAGAGCGCCCACCTGAGTTTATTAATGAATTAGCTTCAGCTCTGCTCACATCCCCTTTGAGTTCAATTTGCAGGCATTCATCAGAATGATTTTTACGCACATAAAAAGTGAGTAAAAAGCAAGTTTTGAGTACACGTGTGCCAGCATTCACACCAAAAAGTGTTACACTGTACGTGGGTTAGAACATTGACACAGCATGCAGAATTCCTCAGAGTGCCCTGGCATACAGACAGCTGACTGCAAATACTAAAGATAGGACCTGTACACACATTGTGTACATTCAGGATGATTAAACTTATTCAGCCAATAATGCTTGCAGTAAATAGTTTTTCCAGGTATGTCATAAAT